AAGTAAGTAAAGTTTGGTGAGGCCCTGGACCTGTCTGAGCAGCTTGAAGGTCCCTCCCTAAACAAGAAGCCCCAGAATTCCACATGAGGCAGAGACAGGATTTAAAATGGATCCATGCTCTAGTATGATGAGGTCCTAATTAGTTCACTTAGTTTTTGCAGAAATTCAGCACTGTCTGTACTGAGTCAAAAGCTCCCAAATCCTAGATCTCATTATTCTAACTCTTAAAATATCTTTAGCCTCAGCCGTTATACTGACAGGAGCAAAAATACTAATTCATATTTCTCACGTTTTTTATTTAAACCACCTTATTTTTGTACAGTTTTCAGACCAATCCATTTGTTTTTCAAACTCCTTGTCTATGTGTATGTGTGCTTTTTCTACCACTTATTCATTAAAGTCATTTATTTTAATACGTGGGTACTGCAATATTAATTAAATATTCTGAGATTATTTCAAGGATAAAATGATTTTGCTGTAGAGGCATCTTGTCCAGATCATTGCTTCTATGTGAGTCTATGAGGTTGTATCAGAAATAGAACACAGGGCTGAACAGCCATCTTAACTCTGGGCTTACTTTGTGAAGGGTTGTTACTGGGTATGTGTGCCTTCAAGTCACCTGTTGAACCACTCAGAGGTGATTTTTCTAGTTCCTTCCTCTGAAATTGAGCTTATAGAATCTGGTATTCATTAGGAGTCTCACATTCAAGTGCGAACCAAGGCTAGCCCTGCTTCGTTTCCATGATCAGACAGAATCTGGTATGTTTAGGGCACTGTTTCTCAAACTCTGGTCTTCCATATGTTTTGGACTTCAGCTCCCAGAAATCCCATCCAGCTTACCAGCTGTTAGGAATTTTGGGAACTGAAATCCAAAACACCTGGAGGAGCAAAGTTTGAGAAACTCTGGTTTAGGGTATTTAGGCCCCTTGCCACAGTTAGCTGGTTCTAAAATTAGAAATATGATGATTCTCAGAGAATGAAAACAATAAAGAGTGTAACACACTTTGCTCATTAAAAAACTATCTAAATGATAAACAAGAACAGCAAGCATCCCACCAAGAGCTCCCTAAAACTACACCAGTATTACTTACTTGCAAAACCCATTTGAACACCCTTTTTTGATACATAATGCCAGCCATTTTTCTCCCAACAAATTAGGATTTCAATCAAACGAGGGTGGAAAAATTGATTTTTTTAAAATTCAAAATTAACTCACATTATCTAGATTTCAGGATGGCTCAGTAATGTAGTCACAAAGCACTGTCAACCATCTGTCACAGACATGCTTGTGTTCTCAGTAGGAAGGACATGACATAGAGTTGCTGCTACCAGCTGAGATATGATCTGTCATAATTGGGTCTCATCCAAATAACCAATTTACACATCCCTGGTTGGATCAAGCATGTGTGGTTGCTATTCCACCTCCTGGAAGACTGCCAGGTCTGCACAGAATATTAGGTTGCAACATCAGCAAAGTGGAACTTGTTCGCAGGGGTGCTTTAAGGCCATAAAAAGAATTTTGTTGGGCAGATGAAACAATCCATGATTTCACATGGCAGCAAGTTTGTGGAGTGATGGATAATTCTATGCAAAAAAAAGGGATTGCACTGCCCCCACCCCAAATCTTTCAGTGGATTCAGCCTCCCGCTACAGCTGACAAAAATGCTGAATAAGCCACTGAGAATCCAGGAGATTTGTGCTTGCTATTTCTGGGGCTGTTAGAAACCTGATCCTACATAGTAGTGTGGTGCAGAATAAAAACCATTCCTACCTTTTCCAATCACAATCATGGGGCTTTTTTGTCACTACTATGCCAATAGGGTGAAGGACCTTTCTGGAACTATGTATTGCTGAAGGCTTTCATGGTCGGAACAACTGGGTTTTTGTAGGTTTTTTGGGCTGTATGGCTATGTTCTAGAAGCATTCTCTCCTGACGTTTTGCCTGCATCTGTGAGGACTTCACATCCTCTGAGGATGCCTGCCACAGATGCAGGTGAAACGTCGGGAGAGATTGCTTCTAGAACATGACCATACAGCCCGAAAAACCTACAACAACCCACTTTCTGGAAGTGTTAAGACATCCATGAAGGATCACAAACAGCTTGCATGCTTTTCAAACTCTAATATGTAAGTTTCTCAAGTACAAAAAAAGTGTTGACCATGCCCAAGATAGTGTGGGACACATGTGAAATATATGAGAATATAACAGCCTTCCCAATTAAATGGTCCATCAAAGCAGGTATGCAATGTAATCTTTGAATTTGGTCAAGGAAACACACTGGTTTCAACTAGACAATCTATGTTGGGACAGTGAAGGATATTTAATCTTGATGAGCTGTTAAGTTAGCATGAAAGTATCTTCTTTGGCTGTTCCTTCTCCAGTTGTAGATGGTATGCATAAGTTGTCACTTACAATCTCATCAGATGGGGCTCTTATCGGCAGCATATGCCAGTTGAGCCCTAGATGATCCACGGAGCTCACCAGCTCCCTTCTCACAATGCAGAGGAACTTCCAGCGGGGCACCGAGGGTCACCTAGAGTGAAGCCAGTATATGCCACCATAGAAGCAACAGGGGAAGGAAGCAATAAGGAAAGCCATTTAGTCGATGCTGATCCCTATGGGATCAGCTTCCTATTGAGCCAGACACTGAAGAGGGGCTGGGCAACGGGTTTCCCACATCCCCTGATTATAGCTACCAGTTTACCATGACGCATTCCAGTGGCCCATGTGACAAGGTCAATAGTTGGAAGGGACTCGTGGGATGAGTCTAACCCCCTGCTCAATGCAGGATCTCCACTTAAAGCATCCCCAGCAGGTAGGTTCAACTTCTTTTTGAAGACTTTTTGAGAAAGAGACCCCACCACCTTTGCCTGAGATGGGGATAGCAGGATACCCACTAAGCCAGAACAGAAATACTATTAAAGGCACAGCAACATCTCAAAAATTGTGGTGACACCTTCAGCCAACCAAAAGATGTGAAATACATACAATCAAGTACTCAAAGCCCACCTAAATCATTCAAAAATCTATAGTAGTTTTTAAAAAATCATGCAGGGGAAGAAAAAAGAAATATTGTGGTTACAGTTCTGCATCTTTGTTGAGATAGATCTCCATCTTGTCTAAAAGTTTGCTTAAGGTGTTGTTTAAGGTGGTGCTGAACAGAAAGAGGTCACATTCCTTTCTGTCCACAACAGGGCTAGAAACAAAAGGAGTCAAAGAACTGCAATATACCTTCTTTATTGGCAGCAACAATAATCTGTGTGTGTCTTCAGCTTTAGGAGACTTCAGAGCACTTTTGTAGGCAGAATATAGTGAGTCTTAAGATGTTTGGCAGGTCTGGAGAAAGATTTAAAATAATATAATTTAGCTCTGTCTAAACCAACAGATTTTGAATAGGGAAACTTCCCCACATTTCTCTTCCTGAAACATCAGGTATAGCTCAGGGATGAGCTGGTGTTTTATCTGGCTTGTCATGCTACATTTCATGGTCATCTCTGTGGAAGGCTTCAAATGTCTGTGGAAGAAAATAAATATCTTGAGTCTAGAAGGTGATAAATCTGATTCATGTCCCCTTAAATCAAGTCTGCTTAATCTAGTTTGGTGCTGTCCACCCTTTTATCCCTTCCTCACTGTAGCACTATCACATAACTATTAAATATTTCACATTTGGCTTACATATTGTGCAAATCTGCAGAAAAAATATCAATCTAATGTCATAACCAACATCCCCAGTGCTTTCTAATATCTCTATAAACACTGAACTATATATATTCATATATATTTATTTGCTCTGATAGCAGACATTTTTCCAATAACCACTGCTGTTTCATGATGGTAAAGAGTGCAGAAATCAATTCTATGGCATTGTCCCTAGAACTGTATACTCATCCTTTGTACAAAGCAGTCAAGTGATACGTACTTACCTTGACTAGCCCCCAGTGGTGCAATGGGTTAAACCCCTGTGCCGGCAGGACTGAAGTCTGACAGGTCACAGGTTTGAATCCGGGGAGAGGCGGATGAGCTCCCTCTATCAGCTCCAGCTCCTCATGCGGGGACATGAGAGAAGCCTCCCACAAGGATGATAAAACATCAAATCATCCGGGCGTCCCCTGGGCAACGTCCTTGCAGACGGCCAATTCTCTCACAACAGAAGCGACTTGCAGTTTCTCAAGTTCCGCCCTGACACACACACAAGAAAAAAAAAACCTTGACTATTCAGGATGTTTCCAAAACATCTTTGGTTAATCGTGCTCAGATGTTATTCCATAGTTACATGATATGGAAAATATTTCATTTTCTGCATAGAGACCGGTTGCAATGAAAAGTCAAAAATGTAATCATATAGGCATAGCAAGGTGGACTTTTTTATTCCATGGACAACTTCCTCTTGCTTAATTGGTTTTCTTTTCCTTGAACTGCATAAAACAACTGGGATGTTTGATCTCCTGAATATCCATCAGCACTTCTAAGAGGTTTATAAAACCGCAGATCTGACTCTTTCTCTGACAGACATATTTTTGAATCTAGAAACAGCTCTACAGTAAGATATTTTCATCAAAAATGTAAAACCTTATGAAAAATTCAAATGTTTTCGTCGAGTAGAAGCCCTCAACTGGAATAATGTAATCCCATGTATATACAGTGTGGTGTTATTTCTAGGTGAGTTTTCTTTTCTTCCCCCCAGTGATACTGATTTCAAAGGTCCTAATGCGTCTATCTGTCTGAAGAAACCAGAATAATAATTATTCTGATCTGTCATCACCTTGCCAGATCATGCTATTTCAGGGTTCTTGTTTTGAGTAAATTTAATTCCTTATCTCTGCAGCTTTATAAAACAGAAATCCATTTCAAACAATAAAGCATAAATAATGTATTTCTATTTTTGAATGTGTTCTTGGATATGGCTGCAATTTATGAGAAAAGCAACTATAATTATGAATGCAAATGATTTCACAGTTATTGCAACAGATTTTGTTTATATATGTTAAACTGTCTTGAAAAATAGCCTGCTTCTATGAGAAAAGCCGGGGCTTTTTTTCTTCTTTCTTCCTTGAAAGTGGGAGAGAAAACAGAGTAACAACTATGGAAACTAGGACAAGTGCTGTAGTGTGACTCAAACTGTTTCAGTCAGGAGCAAAATGCCAGTCTCTTTTGTAGTGAGATACCTTAGACCTTAAAACACTAAAATTGTTTCCACAGTCCTGTAAAATACCAGCCTAACCTGCATTTGCAGAGGTGCAGATTGTTAAAATTAAAAATAAGCTAAAATCCAAAGAGGAAAAAACATTGTGGCTAATTAGCTCCTTCCCTCATAAAGGAAAGGAGATTCCACCTGAACATTAGGACTGTGAGAGCTGTTCAGTGGTGGAACTCCCTGCCCTGGAGTATGGTGGGGGCTCCTTCTTTGGAGGTTTTTAAGCCATCTGTTGGGGGGGGGGTGCTTTGAATGTGATTTTCCTGCATCTTAGCAGGGTGTTGGACTGGACGGCCCATGAAGCCTCTTCCAACTCTATAATTCTATGGTTCTTGCCATACAATTTTGTGTCATTTTTTTCGTGTGTGCAGTACCACGTTCCTTATCCATGAACTCAACATCCATGGTTTCATTTATCAAACCTTCAAAAATATATCCCTGATAAGTGTTTGTGGACCTCTTTGGATACACAATAAATGGCATCACTGCTCTAACATGCCCACTAGCTTCTTAAGAGCTAAATGCAATTGTTAGTGCCAAATAAAATTAATACATTTAATCAATGAGAATGTGATAAGTGAGCATGCATGTAATCCTATTGATTCAATGAATGTACTCTAGTTGAAACTATCAGTTGGATTTAGTCCTTTTTACAAGGGAAGGGGAAATGCTGGCAAGATATGTATTCATTTAAGCCGATCACACCCTTGTCTGGCAGAGTACTGTACATCTAATAATTTTCACTTTTTAACTTATAAGCTATTTTTAAAAATACTGTTATAAAAATGAGACATTTGTTCAGTAGCAAGCACCCATTGAAGCCCATTACATCTGCAACATGGAAGACATTTCTATCAGGCTAACACTAACATATACATTAGAAACTTTCCTTTTTGGAAACCAGTTTGTTGTAAATAGCAAACTTCTTCAAGCCTCCACTAGTAATTTGTTTTATATATGATTCTGTTTGCTGTATTGTATATGTATGTTTTGATATGCAACCTTCCCTTTACTCTATGTTTCTTGAGGTTGTGGGAGGAGCTGCAAACCACATGATCAGATCTGGGACTGCTCAGAGCACAGACTCCACTTTAGAACACACATGTGCTATTAGACGTTTGGACTGTTAAGAGCAAACTCATGAGAAAGATACCTATGTTATCTGCACAGAGAAACCACTTCAAACCTATCTGTAGCTGGATTGACAAGTTATGTACCTGTATGCTAAATACATGAAGGTTGTGAGTAAACCAGATACATTACTTCTAATTAAGTCTACTTTATTTTTGTCTCTTGAGAGCATGATATAGAAACAAGATTTTTTTTGAGAGAGTAGGTATTTTTGGATACTGAAAACAACACTTCTGAAACTGTTGTTTTTTGTGCATTGGCATAATCTCTGTTCCTAACAGGTCAGAGACAACTAGGGTTATCAGTCTCACAACTGAAACCCAATTGCCTTGCATAAGTACATGTGGTTATATACCACTGAAGAAAAGACTTTTCTCAAATGGGTTTTTGGCTCTTCTCTGGAAGATCATGCTTTTACAAAGGGTTATGATTTTCAAGTGGTTGTCAATGCTATTTTTTCTCCAAAAGGCTATGGAGATCATGGTTTTCCCTAAGGTTTATGATCTCTAAAAGGTCATGATTTCCAAAAAAGTTGGGATACCAAAGTGTCTGGGCTATTTTTACATATGTGCTATGATCATCTATGGAAGCCCTGCCATTGTTAAAACAATTGATGATCATTATAATTCTATTCTGAGTCCATTTTAGATAGTCTACAGATAATTTAATTATTATACAGTGGGCCCTTGATATCTGATGGGGTTTGATTCTAGGATGGGTACAAAAATCTGTGAATGCTCTTAAGTCACTTTATGTAGACTGCTGCAATAAAAAGCTATTTCTTATATAAATGGCAAGGCTTGCTTTGGGTTTGTTTGTTTGTTTGTTTGTTTGTTTTACTGGGGGAGGTGGGGGAGAGAGAGATTTTCACCATCCACAGATGTAGGCTGTACTGGAAACATCCTATTTTGAAAACAAGACAATCCAGAAATATATGAGGCAGTTGCTAGACACAAACCAAGTACTTTCATCTGCTTGCATAGATGGAGGGTGAGGGTGTTTGCAAGCACTAATCATAGCACCAGTAGTAATATTACAAATACTGATTAAGGTGCACAGATTAATACCGCTGTTGCACAGTTTATAACAAGTCCTTCGCATCAGGTGAATTAAGCAGCCTGAGGTAGTGTTTGCATACTAATAAGTCTAAATGTTTACAAAATTACATGGCATTTCAGATTCATGTTATAAGCCAAAGCAATACAGGAGGAAAAACATTTTAAATCTGTGGTACAGAAACCTGTGGTGAAGGTACACCTATTGTTTGCTGAGATTTTTAAATATAAGCTCATCATATTGTATAAGCAGGATGCTGAAAGCTTACTTTCAAGTATAAATGATTAATTGCTCAAATTCCAGCAATAGTTCATGTGTCTGTTTTTATACAACATGGTGATTGAACATGTCAGCTCTATTTTGATCACAATGCATTTTTCATTGGACAGTCTATGGACTTTATCACACCAGCCTGTTGACTTGTCACAACTGCATTGGTTAAGCTTAGCAGAATGTACTCTTATTGGAACAATCTCTTTCACACTTCAGCGCAATTGCACAATATTGACATTTTGTTGATGCAAACTCCTCCAATTAACCTTCCAAGCAGCCTTACTTCCTATCTGCATTTGCCCAACCCAGCACATGTGCAGTGTGGGTTTTTTCCCCCTATTTTTCTTTATTATAGTCACATAGTTCTGGTGTCCTCATGAGATCTTCCTCAAGTTGGCAATATTGCAATTGCAGAAAAAATTGTATTTTATAATGAAGCGCGATAGAAGACTAATTATTGACAACCATAACATAATGTAGTATGTTCTATCAACAGGCAGTTTTATCATATCATAAGTCTTAAAGGCAGGGAGAATACATGTATACAAGTTTTAATTGAACCTTTGCAGAATTCAAACTTGTGCACCAGCTGTACCCATATCTTGAGAAGCCAGACTTGGCCAAAGTAGTCCATGCTCTCGTTACATCTTAAATAGACTACTGCAATGTGCTCTACATGGGGTTGCCTTTGAAGACTGTTCAGAAGTCTCAAGTCATCCAATGAGCAGCAGTCAGGTTACCAGAGCGGCGTACAGGGAGCATACAGCCCCCCTGTTGCGCCAACTCCACTGGCTGCCAGTCTGCTACTGACAGTGCTGGCTTTAGCCTATAAATCCCTAAACGGTTCTGGTCCGGCTTACCTATCTGAACGCATCTCCCTTTATGAGCCAGCTCGAAAACTAAGGTCTGCCGAGGAGGTCCTGCTCTCGGTCCTGCCATCTTCGCAGGTGCGATTGGCAGGGACAAGATACAGGGCCTTCTCGGTGGTGGCCCCTCAGCTGTGGAATTCTCTCCCCAGTAAGATTAGCTCACCCCCTCCCTTCTAGCATTTAGGAAACAACTTAAGACCTGGCTATTCAATCAGGCATTCAGTGAGTAATAGAAATGTGGAAATATGGAAGTAGTTAAAGATAACCTCAGGATTGATGCAAGGTCTAAATGTTTTATGTTGTGTCTGTGATTGATGTTTTATATTTTTAGAGTTTTCATGGTTTTAATCTATTGTCATATGTTGTTGATTTGATACATGATGTTTTTATATGTGTGAGACATTGAATTTTGCCATTGATTATGTTGTAAACCACTTTGAGTCCCTCCAAGGGTAAGAAAGGCGGTATACAAATGCAATAAATAAATAAATAAATAAATAAATAAATAAATAAATAAATAAATAAATAAATAAATAAAGGTATTGTTCATAAGATTCAATTGAATTACCAAAGATAGGGCACAATAGCTATTAGGTGCAATCTCACCTCCTCTTCCATGTATTTTTCCGATTTGCTGTGTGAATA